GTGTGTATGTGCATAGGGAAGTGTGTGTGTGCACATAGAGGTGTGTGCATATAGAGGTGTGTGTGTGCAGGTGTGTGAGTGCATATAGAGGGGTGTGTGTGCATATAGAGGTGTGTGTGTGCATGTGTTTGCATATAAAGATGTGTGAGTACATGTGTGTGAGCACAGGTGTGCATGTGTGTGCGTACAGATGTGTTCATAAAGGGCACAGGTGTGTGTGTGTGTGCATAAAGGGGTGTGTGTATAGGTACACGTCTCCACACAGGAATATGTGCAACAGGTGCATGGCAGGAATGTTTCCAACCCCTTCTTCACCCATCCCTGCCTCCAGGAGCACCTATTTCTCCTCCTTTTCGTCCTCCTCCACCCCCAGAACCCACCTGGGCTGTGAGCCCCACATTGACCCCCATACCATCCATCCCCACTACCTCTTTTACCCCCAGATTCAGCCCCCAGGCTGCACACGGGTCGCCCCACCTGTGCCCACACTTCTGCCCTCCCCTCTGGGCCATGGCTGAGCACAGCCCCTCCAGCAGCTGGAATTAAGTATGAAAACAGCAGTTTCAGAGCTGTGTCCCTGCCTTGGAGAGCAGAACCCATCAGCTATAAATAGCCAGCTCCATTAGGTACACAATGTGCAATCACAGGCAGTGCAAATTGAGGCTCAAGCCCACAGCAAATTGCACCCAGTGGCCAAATGAGCCAGGGAAGGGTCAGCATGGCTTCTGCTGCCCACAGCTGCCTGGAATGGGGACAGCTCCAACGGTGTGGGTTGTAGGGACAAGGAGCTGCACCTGAGAGCACCTTTTGGTACCCAACAGGGCTGGAAGGAAGATGGGGACCAACGCTTCAGCAGGGTCTGTTGTGACAGGACAAAGGGAAACAGTTTCAAGCTAAAAGAGGGAGATTTAGGCTGAGTATAAGGAAAAAGCTGCTTACAGTAAGGGTGGGGAGGCGCCGGCACAGGTCATCCGGAGAGGTGCAACTTAGAGACATTCAAGGTCAGTCAGCACGGGGCTCTGAGCATCTGATGGAGCTGTGGGCACCCCAGTTCATGGCAGGGGAGTTGGACCAGATGGCCTTTAAGGGTCCCTTCCAGCTAAAATGACCCTATGACTCCATGATTCCATGACCCCAAGCACAGCTCCATGCGTGCAGGGCACACACTGCCAGCTTGCTGGTACGCATAGAGACACGCCAGGTGTGACCACCTCATGCAAAATTCCATTCTCAACACCCAATCCTGGATTTAATGGAAGTCATACTATTAAATTAACGCGACAGGCAGCTAATTACAACCCAACCAAACTCCTCCTGGCTTTCCCAGGGCCTTATTTCATTCATTCAGGACTACAACACCCCGGTGCCGGAGCCAAGCTCAGAGCACAGCAGCAGCACAGTGGCTGGCTGGGAGGATTCGTGGCTCGCAGGAGAACATCTTGCGCAGCTCCCCACGGAAGCGGTCATGCAGCCAGGCGTAGAGGAAAGGGTTGCAGCAGGCGGAGCTCATAGCAAACCAGTGGCACAGCAGCTGGATGAGCAGGAAATAATGCTTGTCGATGAGGTCGATGTCGATGTCACGGATGATGTTGAAGACGTGGATGGGCAGCCAGCACACCCCGAAAGCAGCCACCACCAGCACGATGAGGCGGAAAATCTTCCTCTTCCTCAAGCGGTCAGACTGAGCTTGGCTCTGCGTGGGATGCCCGGGCACCACGCGGTTCCGCAGCTTCACAGAGATGCAGAGGTAAGACAGGGAGACAGCAGAGAGAGGCAGGATGTAGGTGACAATCAGCGTGCTGTAGGCGTAGGCCAGGCGCTGCTCCTCCTGCTCCATCCAGAACTCCTCGCAGATGGCAAAGCCCTGCTGCTGGAACTCCACGTGGTACGTGTGGGCCACAGCAGGGGCCACCAGAGCACAGGACAGCAGCCAGATGGCCCCCACCACGTAGATGCAGCTGGTGAGCGACAGGCGCTTCTTCAGGGGGTGCACGGTGGCATAGTACCTATGAGAGAGAGCACCCCATAGCCCTTAAAGTGTGGGGATGGAGGGTTAGGGAGCGTTTCCCACCCCAGATCATCATCACGGCAAGGCTGGGATTTCACGTGGCTCCTTCCCATTCTATCCTGCATGACAGCTGTGCCTCACTGAGGGAGAGACTGAACCCTCTGCCTGCGGTCAGGGCACAGCCACTGAGCTGGGCATGGGCTGGGAGTGCAGCAGAGCATCAGCCAGGGTGTGCCACAGCCAAAGGGACTGGGATGAAACCACACAAGATGAAGCTCAGCAATGATTCACGGTGAGGACCGAGGATGCCTCTGTGGTAGGAAGAGCTCAAATTTCTGCTTCCATCCCCAAAAAGCAGCTTTGATGAAGAGCAAAAGAACAGGGCAAACTCATGCAAGTTATACCTCAAACCCACCAGCACAGAAGCTCAGTTCCACAGAGTTTTCTCAGCTATTCCACCTCATCCTCCCTTGGTTCTGCCTTTCCCCTTTGCTCTAGGGCTCTCTCCCCCAGTATCAGTGGTTTGGGCTCTGCCTGGCTTGTGCAGCTTCTCTGATGAAGCCATGTATTTATGGAAACACAGTTTTCATACATTCCCTCCTCCTCCCCCCCGCTACCATCAGGTCCTGCCTGTGTCCATTTCAGAAAACACAAGCACTCTCCATCCAGGTGACAGAACACAATGTAATTTTGGTGCAAATTGGTGCAGCAAAGGATGAAAACCCGGGAGGAAAATCTCTCTGTCTGAGGTGGAGGAAGAAGGCTGCGCTGGGGCACTTTGCTGGAATCCATCCCTGCTGTGCTCACGATAGAGCTGGTGGCATGGGAACATTGCAGACCCAGGCATCAGCTCCATTGGCACAGTCACAGCAGTGCCACCACCATTGATTTGAGCACAGTGAAGTTGCTGGGACAGCACAGCCTCCCGTTTTAGGTCCATGGAACTTTTATTTGGGGGCAAATCTGCATATTTCTAAACCACAGGCATCACCAGAGAAGGCAACATCCAGCCTGAGCTCAGAACAGGGGCACTGCTGCCCAGTGACAAAACCCCTGAATGCCCACACCCAGTCTGGTAGCATTGCCCACTGTGTAGTGCGAACAGCACCAGAAGTGCTACAGCTGGGAGCATGAACCCATCAAACAGCAGCTCTTCTGTAGCACCCATGCAGCAGAAGCCCTGGGATTTTCCTTTTCCAGCTCTGTGCCCAGCACTGAGCACCCTGAGCTGCACCAACCAAGCAGCATCAGCCCCATCCTGCCCACGGTGGGGACCCCGTGCCACCCCCATGTCCCCTTACCTATCAACTGCGATGGCCGTGAGTGTGAACACAGAGACATAGACTGTCATGGGCTGCATCAGGAACACAAAGTAGCACAGGAACTTCCCAAAAATCCATCCCTGCGGATTGAAGGCGTACGCCAGGGTGAAGGGCACGCAGGTGGCACACATCAACATGTCCGAGAAGGCCAGGTTCCCAATGAAGAAATTGGTGACGTTGTGCATCTTCTTGCTCTTGCAGATGACGTAGAGCAGCAGGTAGTTGCCGAAGATGCCAATCAGGACCACCAGGGCATAGCAGGGGATGATGAGGGGCTTGAAGGACTGGATGAGCTGAACCCCAGTGAACTGCGTACTGCCGTTGGGGCGGTTCTGCAGGGCCAGCCCAGAGGAGCTGGCATTGGCACCATCGCCACCGGGCTCCATGGCCTCTTTGGGGTGGCTGTAGGATATCCCAGGACCCCAAAACCCAATGGCTCAGGTGGCTCCAATGGACATGCCCTGAGCCTGAGTGCTCCACTGCAGCCTGCTGGCAAGGGAATGGTGTGCAAGGGGGTCAGAAGAGAGGCAGTGCCAGCAAGCAGCCCCTCAGGGATGGCAGCACAAAGTGGAACAGCTCCACGGAGGGAAGAGAAAGGAGAAAGAGGAGCTCTTGGCCCCAAAGCTGGGAGGGATGCACTCACCTCAGCCGGGCTCAGCAGCAGAACACGGAGCACTCCGGCGGCACTGCAGGAGGGAATCGCAGCTCCGCCAGAAAGGAGCTCCTAATGCTTCTGGAAATCACAAAGGACGTTAATGGGTAAACGAATAAGGATGCTCTGCTACTTTTGCACTGTTGCAGCCCTACGCGCCTGCACTCCGCTCATCCGTCCCCGTAACGAGATTAGCCAGGCAATCCAAACGTCAGGGCTGGCAGCAGCCGGGCTGCACCGCTCCTCTGCTGCGATCCGAGAGGCTGCACTGAGGGTAACCCGCCATCCTCCCCGAAGCCACTCCGGACTTTCGTTCAATCAGCTGCAAAGGGAAAGAGAGGAGCGGGGAGGGGAGGGAAGGAGGGAACTCACCGGCGCCGGTTCTGCCCATGGGGAGAGAATCCCCAGCACAGCACAGCTTCTCCCCCCTATTTCCACACATCGCCTCCCACTCTTCCTCCACACAGAGCTCACAGCTCTGACCGTTTCTCCCCGTATCAACTGTCGTTTGGCTCTCGAGTCCGACTAAGTGAAGAAAAACCCACTCCAAAGACTTCAGAAGTCTGTGCTGTGTGCTGAATGAACTGCTCAGGGCTCCTATTGGTATCAGCCCCAACCTTCACCTGCACCCAGTGCCGCCCTCACAGTGACACAATGGGACCACACACCTCACACTGGGGCACCAGGAAGGTGCAGAGCCCAGCACCCTGCTCACTCCTCTTTGGTTCCCATGGCACTGAGTGCCATCTATTACTTACCTGGCAGTTGCCATGGTTATGCCAAAGCCCTCTCTGTGTTGCAGGATGCGGCCATAGGAGGGGTGAAGGCATGGCCAAGCACAGCCCCCCTGTTTCAGGGCACAGCTGCAGCCATGCAGGGACCACATTGCTTTTGCAGCCAGGTCTAATTGATGGCTCACGGTTTGTGCAGAGTGAGTTCTGTCCCCACAACCCCGTGGAGCAGAGAGCTGCTCCTTTCAGGGTACCACAGCAAGGCAAGGAGCTGCATCACCATCTAACTGCACTTTACCTGTTTGCTTCTCCTGCCAGCACACAACAGGAGAAACTGTCACCCTTTGATTGATATTTTTTTTAGAGCAGCAAGGATGGCTCCCACACAGGGCTGGGGTATTAAAACCCAGAGTAGGGAAGGTGAGTGGGGATGCACTGCTGTGCCCAGAGGGCATCTTTGCAAACTCATCCCATTGCTGTCAGCCCAGTGTGCCACCAGCCCACACCCAGCTCCGCTCCTCATTCCACTGCAGAGAAATTCCTAGCCAGCTGCTATCATGCAAATAACTGATTTGGGCAATTTTCCTCAATTAGGAGCTTTAATTTGATTACTTCAATGGTTGCTTGTTCTGAACAGACTTTGGCTGCATTTCCCTGGGCTGCTGTGAAGGCTGCAATGTAACTTTACTCTGTTTATCCAAACAATTGCCAGAGTAATTCCTACTGGAACAAAACCACCATTATGACTGCAGATTGATTGGCAAAAGGGCTGCACAGGGGGGACACAACACACACATTTTAAGACCATCTGGGAGGTGCCAGTGTAGGGAAGGGGCAATGGTGCTCAATAGGATGCTCTGAGACCCACAGCTCAGCAGCACAACCCACAGCATCCCAGCAGCAGCACAATCAGAACACGACTGAGATGGAGAGAAGGATCTATCCAAAGCAGAAGCCTGTTGTGTCCTTGTGTAAGGATCCATCCCATCCAGAGCTGCAACTATTCTCCATCCTGCGCTGCCCTGGCATCGTCCTCATTACCTCCATCCACATCCAACAGCTCTTCCTCGTGGACTTTGCACTTGGGGACATCTTCCACTATGGGGAGGAGCATAGTCAGGCCAAGCACCCTGTTGTGGGTGCTTCTACAGGGCAGGACTCCCTACCCTCAGGGCAGAAGCTGCCACAAAGCCACTGCAGGACCAGCCCTGCTGATATCCAGCCCCATAGCCCAGTTGGGACTCACACGTAACGTGCTGCCCGCTGAGATAAACCGGTCCAGTTCCACACTGCAGCATGAAGGTGACAGGAGGGACAAACTCCAGACCTTTGAGACTGATCTGCAAAGAGCCAAAGCTCAGAGCAACCCCCCAGATCCACCCAGCCTCCACAACAGCCACAGGACAGGAGATGCTCTGCAGCACAGAGCGCTTTGCAGGCACAAACTGGGCAATTCCAGAGCTGGAAAAAGCCCACAGATTACCCAGGGTGAATCATTCCCTGTTCTTACCATGGGGAGCACTGAGACACGCAGGGATGCGATGGGCACCGGTTTGTGGTCTCCGTAGGTGTTCTTGGACTCCACAGCCACCACGTGCAACTCATCCCTGGCATCGGCCCCCAGGGAGATCTGCGGGTTGGGCAGAGCCCCTATGACAGAGCAGAGGCCCTACAGTGGGGCAGCAAGGTGATAACAGCAAGCCCCACACCTTACCGTCTTCAGCAGGACCAGGTGCTCTAGGAAGTCATCGTCCTCCTTCACCACGCAGCTCTGGCTGTTCACACCCAGCTCACAGCCTGTGGACACACAGCCCAGTCCCTGCGTGCACCAGCTGCTTCCCCTGCAAACCTCAGGGGTGCAGAAAGCTAAAGGAAAAAGCATCCTTTGCTGCCCCCCTGCAATGCACTGGGGGCTGCTGCTCACCCCACAGCACAGCAGCTGTCCTGTCCTCTGACAGCAACCTGAGAGCAGGGGAAGAGCTGCTCATCCTGCACAGCACCAGGAACCAGGCCCTACAGAACAAGCACCAGAGAAAGCAGCTTTCAGCTGGCCTGTAATTATAACAGGTGGAAGAAAAGTGACTTAAGAATGCTTAGAGAAGGTTCCCAAAATCCAGAGCTAGGGCAGCATTATGCTGGCAGCTCCTACCAGCACAGCTTGCTTTCTGCAAGAGTTGGAGGCAGCTAGAGCAGTGCCTTGTTAGCTAGGACAGCACTGTTAAATGAGAAATAAAACCACAGTGACAGCATTAAGAACAGCACAGCCTATTGAAGGAGGCTCCTCCAGCGCTAAGGTCTCAATGGAAACCAACCCCAGCCCCACGCATTGCCCTGCAGCCCCCACTTGGCCAGAAAAAGCACCGAACACGAGCTCCTCTTGTGCTGCAAATAAAGAGCAGCGGCAGCCCATCAGCGCTGTAATTCGGAAATGCAGCGCAGGTGCTGAGGAGGACAAATAGAGGCTCTCAGGTGCTGCCAATGCATCCTCAGAGCTGCTTTGCTCAGCGCTCGGGGTGGCTGCAGACAGCAGTGAAGAGCCACAACTGGTTCGAAGCTGCAGGACCGCCCAGGCGGATTTGCTTTTCTCTTTATTCCCGTTACACGTTATGAGTTCCGCGCAGCGCCGGGAGGTGGCACTGAGGCTCTGGATGGTCGCCGTGGCTCTGCTCAGACCCCGCAGCCTGATTCCAAATGTGAATGGGACGATGCGGCTGTTTGCTGGGTCGGCAAACCCTAGGATGGGGCGCAGAGCCTCCCTGGGGCTGTGAGCAGCACAGAGGCTGTGCCCGGTCCTTGGGAGGGACCCCCAGGCGCTATGGGGATGGGTGCCCGTGGGCATCCAGCCTCAGGCAGCCCCCTACCCTTAGGAAGGGCAAGGCGCCGGTGATGCAGGTGAAAGCTGCCGAGTGATTCCCGAGGTTTATTTCACACAAAAGCATTACAGTCACCACGACGCACGTTTACAACCGATATCATCCCCCAAGTCCCAGCGAGGTGGGACAGTGCGGTCACAAACACCCGTGTTTTCTTGCACAGCGCCCTCTGTGCCGCTGTGCTCCGTGCTGTGCGTGGAACGGCCGTGCAGCGGTGCGGTGCTGCTGCCTGTTCCTACAGCACGTAGAGGCTTCAGAGCAGAGCATCGCCGCTGCCAGAACCCGCAGCATCATGCAGGGCTCTGGGGAAAGCCTCTCCAGCAGCACTCTTTATCCCTCGCTCCTCTCCCGCCTGTGCTTTTCCCTTGCTGTGGCTCCCAGCATCACACCCGGCTCCGGGAGCTCACTGCAGTGTTTGGGGCAGGACCCAGTGCAGATCACGGAGCAGTTTCTTGCCAGCAGGAGATCCTCTTTTCCTTTGCCAGCTACACAACCCGGGAAGATGGGGTCCCGTGGGCGAGCAGAGCTGCTGGTCACCACGTCCCAGTGCCAATCCATCTGGGGTGGCAGTGTCCCCATCGCCAGAAGCTGTGCTGGAACCTCATCGTGAGGGGCTCAGGATCTTTTTGCTGCTGCCTTTATCTCTCCAGCACCAGAGGAGCCCCTTTGCTCTCCGTGTGGGTGCGTGCACCAGAGGGTCCTTCCAGCGTTGTACCCTCAGTGCCACTCCTCCTTCCCCACACAGTGTCCCCGTCCCAACATCTGCAAGAAGACAGCAGGAGCTGATGGTGTGCATCCCCCCAGCATCACAACTCTGGGGATGCAAAGCAACCACTCCAGGAGCTGAGCCCCTGGAAGGAGAGAGTGCAAAGGAGGGTCTTGGCCTCAGCAGCAGCGTGCAAGCACTGCAGAGCAAGCTGCTCTGAAGGGAGTTAAGAACTCTGAGCAGCACAGAAACGTGTCAGCAGATGCCTGCGTCAGCTCACATGCCCGATGCAGGCACATGGCTGTGACCCAGCCAAGGGCTGAGCTCCCCCAGGGAAGGGGACAGCCAAGCTGGTCAGAGGGGACTGTTGCAGAGACAGGGGTGGCCCTGTTGCAGCCACACACTGGGGTCTCCTGTGGAACACACACTTACAGTGCTCCCTGCTCTGCTGCATTCCCAGTCAGACCGAGGGACCTGCCGGCATCTCTCTGCTGGTGAACCTTAAATGAGAGAGCATAGAGAGTAAAGAGCCCACATCCTCCCCATAACAGCAGGGGCTCCCTGAAGTCATCGGGAGTGAGGGGAGAAGGGAAAAGATCCCAGGCACAGGAACACACTCCTGGTGTCCCAGCAGCGTTTTACTACCTGAGGAAATGAACCTCATTCCGGTTGTTGGGGCAATCCCAGAAAGGGACAAAGTGCCCAGGGAGGCACAAAGAACCTCAGCTCTGCAGCCTGGCAGAGGGCTTTAGGGAAGCCCAAAGGCGTTGGGCAGCAGTTCCCATTCTATACCCCATCCCAGTGCTCACCAGCTTTGCATTCATCAGACCACAACCCCATCACCAGCAGTCCCCCAGAACAGCACCCTGCACCCCAAGCATGCACACAGTACTCACTCATCCAGCTGCTCGCACAGCCTGCTCTGCATGCCCTGCAGCCAGCACTCGCCCAGAGGCCGCTGCTGGTGGCCACCAGCATGGGATGAGGCATTCTCCTCCCTCCTGCTGCTCCCCTGCACCTCGCTGTCCTCCCTGAGCTGCCCGGGGTCCACAGCCTTGCCGTCCTCCACCGGGTCCCCCCGGGGGCTGAAGGCACAGGAGCAGTGCTGTGGGTCCTGTGGGGCAGCGTGCAGCCGGCGGTCGGCGCGGCGTGGGCAGCAAAGCAGCTTGCGGAAAGCGCTCCTGAAGTCGGGGCTGCGGCAGTAGATGATGGGATTGAAGGCTGAGTTGACGTAGCCCAACCAATTGAGGAAGAGGAACAGCTGGTCGGGCACCAGAGGCCGGCAGAACACCTTGATGATGTTGGCCACGAAGAAGGGCAGCCAGCAGAGCGTGAAGGTGCCCATGATGATGCCCAAGGTCTTGAGCGCCTTGTGCTCCTTGATGGCCAACAGGCGGGAGGGCCGACGCCACCGCCCTCCCCTGGAGCTGAGGCTGGGGTTCTCCTGCAGGAACCTCACCTTGTCCTTGCCGATGAGCTGGACGTGGCGTGTGGCCACAGCAAAGACACGGACGTAGACGAAGATCATGACGAGCAGCGGCACGTAGAAGGAGACGGTGGAGGAGACGATGGCGTAGGTCATGTTGGTGACAAAGTCACAGCAGCGTGGATCATCGTAACAGCGCACCGCCTGCTCGTCCGCCCCGTCCCGCCACCAGTGGTTCATGATGGGCAGGAAGGAGATGAAGGCAGAGATGGCCCACACCATGCACACCACAGCCCACGCTCTGCCCTTGGTCACCAGCGCCTCGTACTGCAGCGGTGCCGTGATGGCCAGGTAGCGATCCACGGCGATGGCGCACAGCGTCTCGATGCTCGCCGTCACACACAGCACGTCCAGAGAGGTCCACAGCTCACACACCACCGTCCCGTAGGGCCAGTGGCCGCTCAGCAGGATGGTGGCCCCCGGTGGCACCACCAGCAAGCCCATGACCAGGTCGGCGCAGGCCAACGAGGTGACAAAGACGTTGGTCATGGTCTGCAGCCGCGGCGTCTTGGCGATGGCCACGATGACCAGCAGGTTGCCGGCCACGATGACCAGAATGGTGATGCTCAGCGCGGCTCCCACCGCCCACTGCCGGCTCAGAACGGCGGCCCAGCTGCAATTAGGGACGGTGCCGTTGCCTGCGGGAAGCGGGGTCATCGCTTCGGCGGGGGGGGCGGGGAGGGGAGGCGGCCCAGCTCCGTGCACTCCTTTGCCCCCCGTGCGCTCCACGGCTGCCGGGGCCGGAGCGGGGCTCGGGGCGGCCGCCGCCGTCGAGGCTGCACCGACGTCGGACTCCGTCCGCGGCCGCTACTCGGAGGAGGAGCCTTTAAAGGCGCGGGGCGGCCCCGGGCTGCCCCTTTGCGGAGATCAATGAAAGCAGAGCGGGAGCACCGCCTCCCCGCTGCCCCCGGGCCGGATACCCCCGACACTGCGCAGCCGGACCCAACTGCGCCCCTCACCCCACTCGCCCTTATTCTCCGAGTACACGGCTCCTAGTTCCTCACTGTGCATCCTGCCCTGCATCCCAGCTCTTTGCTCCGTGCTCCTCTCTGTTCTCCTCGCATTCCAGGGTACGCAGTGAAGACACCGACCCGACTGCCATCAGAACAGGGATGGCAAAATGACAGCCTCACCCCAAAGAAATCATCCAACAGCCGCTCTTTCACCCCCACATTTAATGCCCGAACCCTTTCCCCAGCTTCTGTAACCATGCACTGCTACCCCCTTAAGTTTGAGTCAGTGCTGGTGGTTTTGGGATCCCCATAATCCATCCTTCGGGATGCCCAGGGAGCTGGGGGGCACCGTGCTGCTCCCATCCCTGCCCCTGTTCCCAGTGCTGCTCCTTCCGAAGGCCCCTGGGCAGACTCCAGGGCAGGGCAATTTTTTCACTATCAGCTATTTATACAAATACTGGAACTTCTAAGACGGGCGCTCTCCAAATATGGCATTTTGAAGTTTCGGCCAAATGGGGGGAATGTTGACAAAGAAGGAAAGGAAATGTGTAAAAAATTATCCAGTTGGCATTTCTTCCCATTCATGAGCTAGCAAAACAGAGCCCGCTTTTTTTACAAGCTTTATCTTTACAAGGCTGTTTGGGTTCTTCAAAGCGGTCAGATGAACTCTTGATGCAAACAACCCCTTCAGCTCCAGCTCTGGCACTAATTGCTGGCACAGGCTGAGTTCTGAGCTTACTATTTCCAGTGTGAGGTGTCACTGGGCTCAAACGATGCATGGCATGAGCAAAACGTGCACAGGGAGAGCCACAATCTTCTTAGTGTGATGGCACACGTAACCCCAGTGTGTGTTGGCACGTGGAGCCATAGTGAGTGTGTATGAAAGAATAAAGAAGTGCAGTGGGAATGGCAGTGGATAACAGAAAATGAAGGCATTTGGGTGTTTTACTGCATGTTCATGGCACGCTCTGACCACCTGCCTGCTGCCATGTGGACACCCATATGAGATCCTTCCTCCTGAGCCTTCCTCCTGAAAACACTGAGTGTGGCTCAGTGTTTTCATCCCACTTCTGCAGCTGGAAAAGCTGAAGCCCAGATGGCTGCTCCACCAGCACAGCATTCGGCTCCTGGCAACGAGCAGGAACCCACCAGGAAAGAGGCTGGAAATGCCTCCTGCAAAACAGAGATCCTGCACAGCTCTCTCTTGCTTTCTCCTCCTGCCCCCTTTGTCTCCTTGCTGTCCCCCTCCAAGGCCCAGCAGCCACCATGGCAAGTGTCCCCTCTGCCACCTCTGCCATGTGCCACCTGCACAGTGCTGAGCAGTGGGAGCCCTGCCAACCACGGGGACCCATGGGGTCAAGTGGCTGTTTGGAAAACTCTGGGAAAATATGTTTATGCCACAGATCAGAGCAGCTCCCTTGGCTGTTGCTACAGAATAAACAATGGATGTTTTAAAAATACATCTTTATAGATAGAGACAGGATGGATTAGAGAAGATCCCTTCTTGGAGAGAGCAGAATTGCAGTGGGAACAGGCAGAGCAGCACAGCTCTGTGCTCTGGGAGCTACCAGCACCCATGGGTGTGTTTGGAGGGGAGAAGCCCTCACCTGGTCCCGACAGTCTGGGCACAGTGGCACTGCTGCCTATGGGGATGGAGAGCCAGCTAGCTCCTGTCCTGCAGCCTCCCCCCATGCCAAGGAGGCAGCGTGCACACAGCAAGCCCTAACAATGTGTGTAAGGCCCACAGGGAGTGCTCAGGTCCTATTAATCCCCTGTACCCAGTGAGGGGGTGAGGCATACAGCAGTGCCTGGCACAGTGCAGGTAGTGGGGAGCACTCCTGTGAGCTTTAATCCTCCACCTCTCATGTTCAATTTGTAACTGCACCCATGAGCCCCACAGAGCTGGCTGCGCCCTGGCTCCAAGGCATGGAGGAGGCAGAGAAGAGGGAAGGCAGCATAGAAGTGATGGGCACACGCCAGCTTCTCCTCCCAGCGTCATTAAAAGCAGCACACTGAATCCTGCCAAGCCTGAGTCAGGCTGATGCCACATCAGGATAAAACAAAAGCTTTTTATAGCTGGGAACTCTTGCTCTCCCCAGTGCACTGTCTGCACGCTTGCTGTTACAGAACAAGTGATAAAAGCAGCGTGAGCCACTGCAGGCTGGGACACAGGCTGGGTGCTGCCAGCTCCTCTTCCTCATCAGGACAGGAAAAAGAAGAGCTCTGCACAGAGCAAGGCAGAGCTGCACCCAGTTCAGCTTTGCACCAGTAAGGGATGGTGCCAAAGGGCTGCTGGAGCCAGGGCTGCATTGCAATGTGCAGCGCATCCCCAGGGCCACACGGCCACTCTGGTAGGGCAGGAGTTGCTCAGGGAGCATGGATTTACCCCAAACCCTATGGCGTGGCATTGGGATGGAGCTCTGGGGTGGGCAAGGGGCAGGGCAATGGCAGTGGCTGTTGGCAGTGGTCCCTCTCTGCCTTTACTGTTTGTGCTGGTGATTAGACTGGGGCTCGCCGTGCTGAAACATTGGGAATAGTTTCCATATCGGATTCCCAAATCTTTCTTTGAAGTTGTTTGGGACGATCTGTCAGCACGTTTCCTTGTCAGCACATAAACAGGCTGTGAGGGAGCATTAACCCCTGGGTACTGCCTGTCCCAGGAAGGCTGGAGGAAGCACTGCATAAACTCTGAGCTCTCTATAAACTCTCCTCCCCGAGGGCTGTCGGATGGGCTCAGCCAGCTGCAGGAAGTGAAGCATTCTCTGCACCAAACAATTCAAACTAATAAAAATGGGATGTTCTGCTGGCTTCCGTGCAAGCAGCCATTTTTAGAACCAAGTTGGCCAAGGCAGGCTCCAAATCCACCACATCTGCAAGGGATGCACGGTGTGCTCCTGCCCTTCCCATCCCAGCCCTGTGGGGTGGGCGGATGCTTCAGGTGGGAGCGCAGTCAGGTATGGAACACAGAGCACATGGCAAAGCTTCCAGGGCATTTCCATCCCCTGGGCTGAAGGGATTTGCTCGCTTTTATGTGCTCTGCCAAGGCTTTGCAGACACGCTCACAAGTGCTTCTCCCTCTCTCCTGCTGACTGGTTTTCCAGCAGCTATTGCTAAAGAAAAACAGAAGTGGAGGGGAAGGAGGGACGAGTCTGCAGTAACAGTGGCACCAATTTCACACACACACACACAAAATAATGATAATAATGTGGAAAATTCTATTTAAAAAAAAAACAGCAAAAATAACATCTGAAAACAGCTGGGTTTGCAGACAGAGAGGGCAAAAAAATCCTTCGGGTGACAGCAGGATGAGACCAGGCAGTATCTCCAGACTGGGGTTGGATCCTGCTGCTTTCAGATATCCAAAACCCCAATACAGCCCCACGCACCACCTGTGCCATCTCCATTCCCATCTTTATCCTCATCTACCACAGCCCTGCAGCCTGCCCATGCCTGTCCCTGCTGTGTTTGCTCCATGTGCAGAAACAGGGAAACAACAGCAGCAATGGCAGCGGCCACGTCAGGCTCAGCTCTCCCATGTCATCACGGCTATTTTTCACCCCACGCTCCTCCTGGTTCTGGGAGCTTTCTCAGAAATGTGTTGCAAATGGGGAGAAGGTTCATTCCTGAGGGCTGTGCTGCTGGGTTCAGGCAGTGGGCAGGAGTTAGCAGTGGGGCAGTGAGGGATGCTCCGGCACCTGATGTGTGGCTGAACCCCACTATTTGTGCCAAGCAGCCATGAGCATGAGACGTGGCTCCTGAAAACACAGCTCACGCTGTGCCATTCCCTGCCGTGCCAAATTCCTCTGCAGAGCATGAGCCAAGCAGCACCCAGGGTCCATTTAGGGGTGCAGAGCATCCCCTGCACACATCATCCCCAGGATTTCTCCCTCGCAGGGTGGAGGCATTTCCCATGGGCAGGATGGGTTTGTTTACTGGGGGCAACTTTGATCTGCACAAACAGCCCTTGGGCGGGCAAAGTGGATGTGGGTTTGGCGTTATCTGCAGTGGTGATCAGAGAGGAATGTAAACACGGATGGGGTGGAAATGCCGCAGCACATAACACCCCCAGCCGCCTTCCCCTTGGCCATGGGTGGGTGCCATGGGGCACCCATGAAGAAATACCCAATATTTCATGACCCACGGGGTGTGTTCTCTACGAGCCACAGCAGGGAGCTGCCTCCAATGGGAGTCTGCCAGAGGAGAAAGATTTTCACAACACCCCTTCCCTGTTTCCACAGGCAGCAATTCCCAGCAGTGGCCAAATCAGCGGTGTGCAGAAAGGACAAACACCTACAAGTGCATTTCTGTTCCCAATTTAGAAGGCAATAAGGCGATAACCTTCTATCGCACGAGGATGATAAAGGCTTTCCAGCTCTTTTGGAAAGATGAAATACCCCAGAGATGAGCACGTTGTCACCAATGGGTGCTGCTAACATGAACTGATGCTCCCAACGTAAGTGCCTTATTTCCAATGGAACTACTGCTGATGTATTGCCCACAGTTGGCTGCTCCTGCCCTGGTCCAGGTGACTTCTCCCCCTTCTCTCTGCTTTTTATCTTCAGTCCAAGTGGGAAATGAGTGGCAGGGAGGGATGAGGAGGAAGGGCCATTGTTAGGACTGTGCATTCCTGAGGCTGCTCAGTGCCAGCTCCATCCCTGATGCAGAGATGTTATCAGCATATATGGGAATGACATTGCTTCCAGC